TGTCCATAAGCTGTGCGTGTGATAAATTGTGAAAAACTCTGAAAATGAAAATCCTTGTAAGAAATTGACCCTAATCACGTCGCAAAGCTACCAAAAGACAAAAGAAAATGAAGGTATATTGGGATCAGGCGCAATTTCCGCTTGGTTGGGGCGAAATTTGGTACTCAGCCTAAAATGCTAGCAGGGCGCTATATAGTGGAAAATGGCGAAAAAACGAAGTGAAACGGTCGAAAACCTGCGAAGAAAAGCCTACGACTCAAAAGGCAATTTTGGACGAGTTTCCCGTAGACACCTTGCCAATAACCGCTACGGTAGGTGCAGCTGCACGTATATACACATATCCATGCAGCACCGCAGCCGCTTCATACCAATCCCTTCGCTTCATATTTTACTTAGCAAATGAAGCAATACGAGCATCAGGTACGGTCGTCCATTTGTGGGCGGGCGGGCGTGGTGGGCGTTCGGGTCGGTATGTTGTAGCTTGATAGGGCCCTTATAAGTACCTTCCTTGGAAAAGGCGCTGTGCAGCGCCTGCTCAGGGTCGCGGAATCCCCTCCTGCCAGGCATGTTAATCCTACTCGTCTTAGGGATTTATCGTGCCAACTACCTTTAAGGAAAAAAATGTATTAATTAGGGTAGTCTTGCTATTTTTCTAGTTCTCCGACCGTGCTCAGTTCATGCTTGCCATGTATACTTTTCGTTCTATGAATTCGTAGACTCAAACATTTCCATTTTACAGTTCATGCCTACGGACATGGCCAAGTGTACAGAAAAAAATAATAACTGAAAACATACATGGAAGTAATTGATGTATAACATCAACAAAATGAAGAACATCAGCGTCAGCGCCACGACAATCAACGCCAAACTGGTGATCAGCCTAGAGGAGAAGACGTTTAGATAGTTAAGAAGAACTGCCAAGTAATAAGAGCTGCTTTGAACAGTAGTGACCTTGGCATCACAAGCATGTGATAAATACCGTAGACGACCAAGAAAAATATGCTGATTGCCAACGCTGGAATGAACCAGTGGTCCATCTCTTTATGGAACTGAAAAACATCAATGATAGGCTCACTATGAAAACAAACATTTCTTAGGGGCTCTTAAGGCGAGCTTGAGGCATGGGGGGGCATTTTTGCCCTTGTTGCTATTTCCATCGACTTAATGACCTATTAGGCAGCCTCTTCTCGAGTTGACAGGCTTTTAAACATGACGGCTGACGACCTTGTACGCCAGACCTTCACAAGTAGATTCCACAGGTTCCGCAGAGTGGACCATGTAAACGCGGAACTAAAGAGCAATGATACTACATAATGCCCCCCCCCTCGCGTGCAAACGTGCCGCCGGCTCTTAATGTTAGGCTGTTTTCATTGCCCCAAAGGAATCCTTATTTTCGGTTAGGCTGGGGGCAGGATCGCCTGGAGGTGAGTGGGTTTGCTGCTAAACGCTTATTGGTGGAATGGCTGCCGAGGAGGGGCCACAGGCCTCACTAGCCCTCCATCCATGACGTTGCGACAATCCCCCCCCTCCCGCCAACTATCGTGCCCCTGCCCCAACAGGTTTGCCGCCCTCGGTCAGCGCGTTTGATAGGGTGGGAGCCCACCCATAAAATCTAAACTGACAAGTTATTTATTGCTAATGACTCACCTCCGTCTCAAGACGAACGTTTTTGAACTGCAGTGAGACTGAGTGCATAAAACTGCCCTTGCTGGATGAGTGTTCTTTCTCATCGATTTCATCTTGTAATTTTGCTTTCCTAAATTTTCAACTCATGTATTAATTATACGAAAAAAATGAAGCGAAATCTTGAACCAAACACTGATGAAGCCATTATTGGGACCAAATTCTTGGTATAAGAACTGCTACTTCAACTCGCAGGGAACACTGACGTTCCATACCTCATAGAGTTGAAGGGGCGTGGCCGCGTTTTTCTTTCAAACGCCAGAGCGCTTGCACGTTCAGTGGGACATTGTCGTTTGGGACAATTGTATCCTTGACTCTGTCCATCACAAGACAAGATGACAGTTGTCCCAAATGGGGAAAAAAACCCTACAAAACGCATCTTGCGCCACGTTCAAATAAAGTTAATGGCCACGCCCTTTCCTGTCTTCAGGATATGGGGCGAATATGATATTGAAGAGAAGCGTCAATTAACCTCTTCTTAGTGGTGCCAATCGTTTTCACATGCGGATCAATTGTGGACAACGTTTGCAAGAGACGATTGATTCCTTGAGGAACCGTTACCATGGAAAATCTGAAAGTAGATAATGAACTGAAATATTACGTCAAGGGTAAAAGAACAGTATAAGGCTAAAGAATTCTCGTTTCGTTATTCAGTATCCTCCCTCCTACGCTCCACCGTCGTTCATTCGACCGCCGAAGTCCACCTTCACATCCTTCTTACCTTCTGTTTGCCAAAAAGTCGTCTTCCATGGGTGGGGACAAGGACTTTTGCTTGCTGTACTAGAAACAAGGGAAATTCTCCAACAAAATCCCTACGTCGAAGGCGCTAAAAGGCGCTAGTTTGGGTCCCGCTCGGAGTCAGGACTTTTGCCCATGGCTGAGTAACCTTGTGATAGCTCGCGGCGCACAAACTGCGGCTTTAAACAGTAGTTAGAACAAAAAAGCTGCTGAGCTGACCATGAGAGCGTAAGAGCTGTCCTGGTAGCGTAATGGGTAGAGCACTTGCCCGAAAAGCGTGGTGTGCGGGTTCGCTTCCTGGCTGCGTTCAAGCTTACTATCATAAATAGCAATTATCATAAGGAAACAACATTGAAGTTTTC